CCTTCATTTGTGACGGTAGGTCCTTTCCGCTATAGCTATGGAGCCAATATCATTTATTAGATTAAATTCAGTATTTGCCATCAGACAGTATTTCAGAGTCAGTCTGTTGAAGCCATAATAGGACAAGAGGGGTATTCTCTGGCTTCAATTTCTCTTGAAATCTACTCCTTATTTGTATTGTGCACTTGCAGTATCCTTCAGGAACTATATTTTTAAAGCAGATACATGAAAAGACCGCAAAGAAACCAACAAGAAGGATAATTATCACAATGTATGGCTGTAAAGGATTGCTCTTACAACTCAGATGTTCGTTTTCTTTTCAAAAGTGAAATAAGCTGAAATTTTGAGGAGCACTCTGAATACCTAAATCAAACTGAAGTGTTCTCTCCTTTCTCTGATTTGTTTGCAAAAATTCACAGCTGCAAGATCTTGTATAACACCGAGCAAAAGAATTCATCAAACTGTGAACACAATAGAGCTTTCATAGAAAACATACTTAATTAGAAGGCTTTTTTGTTTATTAAGCAGAACTTCTCTCTGAAAGTCACAGGAATAAGTTATTAAATTTAGCAGAATCTGCAGCTTCTTTAGTATTGTTTGCTTTAGCAAGTGAGAAGACAAGAATTATGGCAGGGCTGCAGGAGAAGCCCAGTGTTAAAGCTCCCTTAGATCCATTGCATTACACCATTACTGTATTATCATTTATGGTCCTGTGGTTTATCGTTTTTGTAAAAAAAAAAAAAGAAAGAAAGGTCAAAAGATGCTCTGAAACTGACCACGTGGAAGAGATCACCATGAATATGGTCCTTGCAGACTCTGAGGTTTAAAAAAGGCAAGGAAATGGCTTCTTTTCAGAAGTTCAAAGTTCTACAAGCGACCTCCAGATATTGTAAGGTGTTTCCCCTGCCCCAACTGATTTTCTTGAGGTTAGGTTTCTTGTTGATTTTGGCTCATTTTGCTCTATGTTCATTGTATTTTAGTAAACAGCTTGCTTTGATAAATCAGGGAACTGGTTTAGTATGTCCCATTGACTATTAATATCAGGTGTTTGCAGAGCTTATAAAAGTAGAGCATAACTTTATGCCATGGAGTTTCTAGGGCCTGTTTTGCATGTGCTCAATTCATGTTGTCTGTTTATTAATTAAAAACTCTATGTCCTTCAGTACACTGGTTGAACCCCTAGGTGCAAGACATCTGGTTTCTTGGAAATAGCAGGTCTCCTCAAGAGTCAGGACCACCTCAAGACAAGGAAGCTTTTGTCCAAATATTTGCAACTGGTTTCAGATGAAGCTAGCTCCAGTCTATTTAAACCTTCTATCTGGCATGTGAGAGCCAATTGATTTCTGCCCAAACCTTGCCTGTTCCAAACTCCAAGTATATGTACTTTGTATGCCTCTCTCTAAAGAAAGGAAAATGAGAATGGCTGGTGTTTCGTATGCCAGAGCACGAAAGAAAACTGACTGAAAGAGTAGTGGAGGAGGAGGAAAAGAAAGCAAGCCAGGAAGAAAAGGAACAGAAAATACAGTTGTAACATTGCTCAGTATCCTGAATGTTAATTAAATCATCATCATCATTTTAGAATTGTGGATCTGGAAGGGATCCTATGGATCTTTGAGTCCAGCCCCTGTCAATGAGTCATAGTGGAAAATCAAATTCTCAGCCCATCTGAGCCACTGAGCTATCCAGCAGTTCTAGCCGGTATCTCTGTACTACACATTTGAAACAGTTTTGTACAGTACCTCTTTGATTATTACAATTCATTATTAAGGAATTTGGGACTTGTAGTTTAGTGAGCTACTTTGAAGTTACCAAAATAGCCTGAGAAGAGAGGGGTTGAGGGTTTCATTTATTTCATTTATAAGGTCCGTAGTATAGACTGACATTCAGGGTACCTTAAGAACTGTAGTTCCAGTGAATGGATGAGAGTGCTCTAGAGAGAATTCTAGGTGCCTCATCAAACTACAAATCCCAGGATTCCTTAAGATGGAACCATGGCACGCAAAGTAGTGAGAAACTAATGTAAATGGGTAATGCAGATGCACTGGGGGGCTGGTTTTCAAAAGTTATGTAAGAAAGATTGAGAGAGAATCAGAAGTTGTTAAAGGCTGTTAACAGCCTCCGGAAGGTCAACTGCAGGTACAAATCTTAATGAAAGTTATTAAAGAGTCATTGAAAAGTCAATGGCAGTTGACAAATTATATTGAATTATACATCAACAGGCTATCACTTGTGTGGTGAAGAAAGGTTGTGTCTAAGGATGCGGTTAGACTATCGAAATATATTGGGGGCTGGATCACAGTTTTTGAAATCAATTTGAAGTCATGTGGTAGTCACGTGGCTTTGGGGTCGGTTGGTGCGTCCACTTGGGACAACTTTTAATCCAGGTGTAAGTCATGTGGCATAACAAATTGAGGGGACTACACAGGCTTTTAAAATTGATACTGTGGGGGGGGGCTCCAGCTTCCTTTGTTTCACCCTCCTGAGGTTATGATCATGTGGCATAATAAGTTGAGGGGACTACACAGGCTTTTAAAATTGATACTGTGGGTGGGGGGCTCCAGCTTCCTGTGTTTCACCCTCCTGAGGTTATGCATTGCTGGAGTGAAATGTCTGTACCAAAAAATTAAAAATTAACCCTGTGCTGTTGCTGGCAAATAATCTAAGAACTGTGCCAGTCCATCCTCACGCTGCCTGCCTCTCATAGCCACTCGCTGCCACCACCACCAGCTTGCTCCCTGCATTGGGGTGATGTGGGTGGTAAGAGCAAAAGCCACATTCTTCTGTTGTGCTGTGATTTTTTAATATTTTTAAACATATTTCTTTTTCAAACTGGCATAGTGCTAGGTCAGTGTTATAGATTTTAAAAAAGCATTTTGGATTTCATTGTTATCCTTCTTCTCACACCTTCTTCAGCTGTAAGCTAGCTGCCCCAATCACTTCCCTTCCCTTGAAGAAGATAGAAAGAGCAGGCAGGCCAGAAGGGGTTAACGTGATTTTTCCCCCCAAGTTCCTCATTCTATTTAACATTTAACATTTACTTTATTTATATTTTTATTTTTTTTTTCAAACTGGGATAGCACTAGATCAATGTTACAGCTAGAAATATATATAATAGATTGGACTGCAAGGTTACCCTGCAGCTGGGAAACCCATGATCCAGACATTCAGTCAAATACTTGACAAACCCCACAGACACAATTTACTGACACAGCTGAACACACATGCAAAAATATATCAAAATAAATTATGTTCATAGTTGACTTAAAATAACAAAATCCTAAGTCAAGTATCAGAAAGGGCATAAATAGCATGCAGAATTAAATGTGGTATTCCTAGCCTCCTGCCTTTCATGTCTTCCCCCCCCCCAGGGCAAGTGGAGGACCTTGGGGTTCTCACATTTAGCCAGGGTTCCTCTTTCTCTCCCTCTTTTGGCAGCAAAACACCACAGGTACACTAGCTCTGCCTTTTCTTCCCCTGGCTATCCTGAAATCCCCAAGATTGACAAAGTACCATATGCTTCAGTTTGGGTCCCACTTTCATGGGACTTATGGGTAATGGCTCCATCTTTGTCCATGGCTTGCCCCTGATGTCCTGGACTGGGTTATGCATCTCCCAGGTCAGAGATCAAGAGACCACCAACAGGACTCTGTCCTCCTCACAGTGGCTTTCGGGATTTGGAAAATGGATATATGGCAATCTTGCAAGAGAAACTCCTGGTGCTTGATAAGAGGGGGGGAGTTAGAAGAAGAGTTGAGGGGAGGGAGAAGAGGGAAAGGATTGAATAAGAGGAAAGGAAGAGAGAAAGGAAGGGAATAAGTTCGTAGGGGGAATAAAAAGTTCCTAACACAGGCAAAACTGGTATGGGAGAAATTAGTATTTGGGTGGAGGGACAAAAAAAAAGGCCAGCATGAAAGAGAAAGAGCAGGCAAAGCAGGAACATTCACTAGCTTGGTTTGTTTTATACTTGAATTCATCCTGTTCCATTGAGCTTCATATGGGTAATAACCTTTGATGGAAGCAATAATGTGAATGGCTACATAGATATGATCAATAAGAAGCTGAGTCTTTGCCAGTGCAATAACAGAAATAGGTTTGTAGACTTGGACTGATTCCCGTTTCTTAAAAAGAATATCTTAGGAAAAAGAATCCACAATCACAGCATGATCTAAATGGCTGATTTATCACTCCATTTCCACAAATGAACTGGCTTGAATAATGCCAATCCAATTAAGCAAAAACTCAAACACAGTCAAGCTGCAGTGAAACACTTCTGAATCACATGGATTTCAGTGGAAGCACTTTAAAGTTCATGCTAGTGTCCTCTTAACAGCCAAACTGTGGATATTTCCCCTCAGACTTTACATCGTGCAATGTTTTGTGGGACCGACTTACTGGTGACCACTTATTACATGAGCAAATTGCTTAAAATTGGCTAGAATCAGCTTTGTGAAAGTATATTCATCATTAAGGAAATGTAACAACTATGGAGAATTGTTTAAGGATTGTATCTCATGGGAAGCTTGCAGTATGCTGAGTTCCTCCTCTTTCTCTCAGTAGGAGGAAAGTGATTGTAGGATGGGTAGACGATTCATGGTGAACCAGTCAGTCAAACATTTGGATAATGTCATCGAAGAAAACCATTATTGTCAGTACATAATGTGGCATGAAATGTTTGCAGTTCATTAAGAAGAACAAAGTTAACTGCAGATTTTATCTGATAAGAGTTCAAACTGTAATTATGCCAGAATTGAATATGGGAACTTAAGAAAAGCCATACTAGATTAGACAAGAGGTTGGTCAATCAGAGGCTGTTGGGAAGTCCACAAGCGGAATGTGAGCAAGAGGGAACTGGTACACTGGAGCATGGTGCTTCTGCTGCTGATGGTAATATGTAGGCATTGTAACTAGTAGTAAATGAAGTATCATTTCTAGCAGTATGCTTTTAAATGTGTTGCATTTGTTGTCATCTAACTGAACAACTCTGTGCATTTTGTTGATAGACCAGCCGTACTCATGGTCTCCTACCCAGCAGCCCTTCGATGAGGAAAGCTACTCTCCTGTTTCAAGGAACATGAAAGGATTATCTGGCAGTCGTAATCAACCACAGCTATGTTCCGCTCATACATGTGGTTTAGCATCCCCTGAAGATTGTGAACACACCCATGATCATATCCACCATGGCCAGGAATCAAGGCAGTCATATCTTCTCAGCCCAACGGAGAGCTGTCCGATGGACCACCATCGCTGCTCACCGCGAAGCTCCATCCATTCAGAATGCATGATGATGCCCATGGTTATGGGCGATCATATGTCCAGTAGCACTTTCCCCAGAATGCACTACACCTCACATTACGATACTCGGGACGATTGCACCATGTCTCACACTAACACAAAGATTAACCGGATTCCTGCGAATCTGCTGGATCAGTTTGAGAAACAACTTCCTCTCCACAGGGATGGCTTTCATACATTACAATACCAGAGGACCTCAACGGCCGCTGAACAGCGCAGCGAAAGCCCAGGGAGAATCCGTCACCTTGTCCATTCAGTCCAAAAACTTTTCACAAAATCTCATTCGCTGGAAGGTTCTTCCAAGAGTAACGTCAACGGGACAAAAGGAGAGGGCAGAGGGGATGATCATCATCACGGACATCATTCCAAACATGGCAAAAGAAGTAAAAGCAAAGAACGGAAACCTGAGAGTAAGCATAAAACTGGAATGAGCAGTTGGTGGAGTTCTGATGATAATTTGGACAGTGACAGCACTTACCGAACACCTAGTGTTGTCAACAGGCATCACGTAGACCATATCTCTCACTGCTACCCTGAAGCTCTCCAGGGACACTTTGGGGACCTCTCACTAAAGACTTCAAAAAGTAACAATGATGTGAAATGTTCAGCTTGTGAAGGGCTCGCCATGGCCCCCGATGGCAAATACATGAAAAGGAGTTCTTGGTCTACACTCACCGTCAGCCAGGCTAAAGAAGCTTACCGCAAGTCATCTCTAAACCTAGATAAGCCTCTTGTTCATCAGGAAATCAAACCTTCCCTGAGGCCATGCCATTACCTTCAGGTAAGTGCTAAATGGAGTTCATAGCAATAGTAATCCAAAAATGAACATGCTTTTTATAAAAATCTGCTGGAAGTGGTTTCTGTGTGCAGGTGCTTTACAAATTTTCCCTTTAAAAAAAATCCCCAGGTTTGTCCAATTTCATCTGTACCTAGTAATGAAATGTAAGAGAGAAAGTAAGATCAGTTAACCACAAACAAGACAAGAGTGATACAATCCACATTTACAGTCCCACACTATTGTCCTGTTTGTAGCTAATAGGAATAAATATGGTCTAAAAATCATTTTCTCAGTAAGCTCACAGGCTTGTGCTAGGTAAATGAATATGATGTGCCACACATATATGTGACCAAACAAGGTGTTAAGATGCATACAGAATACAAACAAAAGGCGAAGAAGCAGTAGTGACTGTATATAATTTATTTGCAGAGAGATAAATAAACAGAACATATCTATGGTGTAAAATATTTGCCCATAAACATTGGCAACACAAATGCACAATCAAGCATCTACAGTATATGTATGAAACAACATAAGTGGTCTTCACAAAATAATAGTCATCCTAAGGCAAAGTATATATGATCATAGCAGTCGATGCACAGTGGACATCCAGATAAATATCCTGTTCTTTACAGTCTTCTTCAATTGACAGTCTTCACAGAACTCTTAACTTTCAGCCACTATAAACTTGTCTTATGCAATGAAACAGGCATGCATTCCTTTGTTGTGCTACTGGTTTCCCACTAGTTTGTCTGAGAGACAGCAATGCTGGCTGTTGGACTGTAGAGAGGTAGCTTTAATGACTGCACTGGAATATTTTTCTTACTAGTTCTTTCTCTTACTAGCTCTTTCTCTTACTAGTTCATTCTCTGGTGCTCTTTTTTGGACCATGCACAGACTATTACCCAGCAGAGACTAGAAAAAAATGAGCTAATACCTTTTTGGAGAAGTCCATAGAACTTTCTACTGGGTTCCTCTTATTTCTTTAATTGGTCAAAATCTTATTAGTGATGCTCACTGGTATAACTGGTGTAAACCTCATTGCTAATTTGTTGCAAATTAAGTTAGTGTTGGCATCTGTCGTTGTGCACTTAGTCATGCAAAGTGGGGAACAACAGCAAACACCTATGTTGACTTTCTAACTTGAAGCAAAACTGAGATTTCCACTGAGTCACACTGGAGATCATAACTAACCAGATTTTGGCCAGTAGAGCAATCTGTGGGGATAACAAATATTTAAAAACAAGTATAGTTTTCTAAATATAAAATAAACATTTTGAAACAATTGAATGCATAATATTTTCAAACTGCAAAAAAAATTTTAAAAAACAATTAGAAAAACAGGGAAGAAAGAAACAAACAAAATGTATGGCACCCTGCAATAAAATCTGTTTTTATTTAAAAACTGGCAAAACGTTAGGAAGAACAACCTTCAGAACACGGCCAAAGAGCCCGAAAAACCCACAACAACCATTAGATCCCAGCTGTGAAATCCTTCACGAATACAAAAATCTGTTGTGTTTCTCTTTCTTTCTTTCTTTCTTTCTTTCTTTCTTTCTTTCTTTCTTTCTTTCTTTCTTTCTTTCTTTCTTTCTCATTTATACCACCTGATTAGTGTGAAGCAATCTTCTGGGTGGTTAACAGTCAAATAAAATAAAATAAAATAAAATAAAATAAAATAAAATAAAATGAAATGAAATGAAATGAAATGAAATGAAATGAAATGAAATAAAATAAAATAATAATAAAGAGATGTAATAAATTAAATCAGGTAAATAAACAACTTAAGACTAACAAATCAAGCAGCATAAACAATAGATGGACAGGCAACACAATTTAGCAGCATTTATGATGAGAGGTCCTGAAAAGCTTCAGTATTCAGCATCATCTTCAGCAACCTGTTAAAAGTCGGGAGGGAGGGGCCAGGCACAGCTTGACCAGAAGCCCATTCCAAAGAGTTGGTGCCACAACTGAGAGGCCCTGCTTTCTGTCGGAAGTCTTTCTGGCCTCCGTTGGTGTGCCAGGAGAAAGCTGCTCTGAGAGGGATGAGGTATTCAATTGTTAAAAGCTTGCCTGCTGCCTGAAAGTCTGTAAGGAAAAGGCCAACCTGAGGTTTAGGGTGGGACCACATAGATGTTTGCCCTGGATTGATGCAGACTTCTTCACACCACACCCTGGTATTTAAATCACTGCCACGGTTCACATCGAGGTATTTAATTTTCTTGAGAAAGTGCACTTCAAGGGTCCCTTCATCTTTCTCTGCTATTATCACCACCCACTTAGCCTCCCCTTGGCTGGCATTCAAATCCCTTTTTTAAAAACATTTAGTAAGTAAAATAGCACTGAACTGACAAGAACTGACATGGTAAGCATTTAAATTAGTGCTTTAAAAATACAGTTTGCAAATTACATTACAGTTTTAGTCATCACTAGCTGGCATTGAAGGAAGGCAAAAGAAGTAGGGTTCACTCCCAGGCGAGCCCCACTCTGTGCCTCATCAGGGATATCATCTGAACATCCCAAACAATGGCCCTAGAAGACTGACATATGTGATTATGCATAGCAGAAGCTGGACACAATAATGTGAGTGGAAACACTGCAACAAAACAAAACACAAGCCCTGACAGTTGAACAAACTAGAGTGCATGCTCACGCCAAAAGGTCAGATCATCTCATAATGAGCACTAACATCATATCGTTGATGGAATAGCTATTGGAAGGAACAATGAGAAACCCAGACCGAAGAGTGGGACACATACTTGTCTAGTTGCTCCTTGGGCAAAGCATTGGTTCTCCTATTCTGCAACAGATCTTTCTTTATCACCATGAATCTTATTTCTATCGTGCTTAAAACGGCATTCAAGAACCATTGCAGAGTGCAAACATGACTCATTGGCTTCGCCTAGCTGCACATTGTACATATGATGGAGCCCTTGTACTATTTCTTAAATAAAAAAAGAGGTTCAGGAAAGGGAAATGGTAGAGAAGTGGTGAGATGGGAGGAGGTAACTTTCATCTTTACTTGCCCATCCCAGTTTTGTTTCAAATGGCTGTTGGCTGCTGTGGCCTTACAATGCTCCCTTTCCCCCCTTCTTCTTCTTCTTCTTCTTCTTCTTCTTCTTCTTCTTCTTCTTCTTCTTCTTCTTCTTCTTCTTCTTCTTCTTCTTCTTCTTCTTCTTCTTCTTCTTCTTCTTCTTCTTCTTCTTCTTCTTGTTGGGTTGGTTTAAAAGTTGCTTTGTTTCCTGTTAAAATGTGTTTTGTTTAAAAGTTTCTGGTTTTAAAAATGTTGTTCTTAAAATGTGTTTTGTTTAAAATGTGTGTTTTAGCCTCCAAAAACTCTCCCCCCATTGTCTTCTCTCTCTGTGTCTTCTCTCTTTTTGTGCTTCAAAGTACAAACCTTTTTCCTTCCTTCCTTCCTTCCTTCCTTCCTTCCTTCCGGCCTTCCTTCCTTCCCTTTCCCTGACTCTACTTAGAAAAGTGGCTTTGTGGCTCTTTTACACACAGGCATAAGAGGACGGTGTGCAGAAGGTACAGGCACAATAATCTGTGCTCCGTTGTGCTCATTGGCTTTGGATAATTTTTCCCCCTGCTTTATTTTTTAATTGACAAAGAAAGATTCTCTGCTGGCTCAGATGGAAGCAAATCACCAGTAGTCTTGATAGGCAAACCAGACATCATGTGGGAGACTCATGATTCTGCTTTTTTTAAATGATTTCTGTTTCTGTGTGAATGCATCAAAGACTGAAGAGGCAGCACCGGGCAGGAGAGCTTACCATGCTATCTCCTTGTCTCAGTTGTTCTTGTTGTTTTGCTCGTCCTCCAGTGAGCTCACAGCATTATGTTCATAATTGTACTTCCCGGCTCTTCATCCTCACTGCAACTCTGGGAGGCAGGCCAGGCGAAAACTGACTGCACCAAGTTTGCTAGTGAGCTTCAATGCGGATTTGAACTTGGATTTGCCAAGTCCCAGATGAAGGCTAAGCACTACACTACATTGGCATTCACACTGCAGTTGTGCACTTGTGTTCATGGAACAGACTGTGCTCCAGATGTGCCCCACCTATGAGTATGGACAGAGGCCTACACGAATCAAGTGAATGCCTCCATTTTGTTCTCTACTAAAGGAGGTTTGTTTAGATGAAGGAAACAGTGAATATTAAGTAACTTTACTCCTTCCATTCAAAGCACCTAATTCATAGGTTGTTTAAGAAAAAATAATAATAAATTGAACAAGATCTTAGCCATGGGTAACGGCTGTGCATGAGTTCGGATTGTTAGCCTTAGAGGATTGATCCCTCAAGGACTAGCATCTATTGCTGTCTTAATACCACATATATTATCATACCTCTGCTTGAATCTTTGAGTCAATATTTGCCAGTACCATTTGGCTAAATTACACAGAAAGTGTGTGAGGCTTGAATAAATAATAGAATCCAAGGAATATCCGAAGTCATTCAATGAACAGTGGAAGAACAGATAACAAGATTCTGAAATAATGGAAATAGCATTGATGATCAGACCACTGCTCTGCTTCAGTGAAATATTTGGGAACAATTCCTGACATTCATAGCCTTTAGAACATATATTTCAGGCTGAAAGAGATGGAGGTATATATATATACACAGCTTATTCAGATATACAGCTCTTATATATATGAGCTGTATGTCTGAATAAGCTGTATTCTGAAAGGGAAATCCACCATTGAGCACTGCTTCACTTTAGCACATCTGATAAATATGTAAAGCAGGCCAAATCTAAACTATATGTAGCCTGTTTAGATCTAAGGGGAGCTTTTGATTCAGCAAAATTGTGGAACAAACTACCCAACTTCTCAATTGATAGAAGGTTGATACTTCTTATTAAGAGATTGTATTCTACAACCTCCTGCCAAATCAAATGCTCAAAGTCAGGGATCTTAATTGACCAACAGAGGGGCCAAACAGGGCTGTTTATTAGCCCCTTCCCTGTTCAACTTGTTTTTGCATGACTTAGCCCCTTTCCTA